TTGCAACATATCTGGCTGTGAGTGGGGAGGGCAGAGATAACTTACAATACACCTAAGTAAAATTAAGTCACAGAATCAGAGCTAGGAAAAACCTTGGAAGGCTCCTACTCTAAACATGTGTGAATGTTGACTGAGTATAAATCTTGATTCTCTGAAGCATTTGCTGAAACTAGGAGCCCTGACGAAAGAATATTACACAAATCAATCAATCAACAGCGCTCCCCTTCCCTTTAATGTCCTTGGGACAAATTTAAAACAAACTCTAAAATGAAAGAATCCCATTTAAAATGGAACAATAATTCTTATCTCTGATACTTTCAAAGATCTGTGAATTAAGTCATCAGTGTAGGTAGTCCACTCACACATACACATCACGGCCCCTTCTTCTCCCCTCTTTCTGGCACCACACAACCACTGGCTACACTTTCCCAGGAATCCTCCACGGAGGATCTCCCCAACACACCTCAGTCCATCCACTTTTCCTTCCCTCACTGGTCCATCCTTTGCACTCATTCTCGCTACAAGACCTGCCCCACCTCCTTCTCTGTTCCAGCCCTTCCTGATAATGACTTCATGCCCCTCCATGGGCTGGATGAAGCCCGGGGCACACTGGGCCATTCCACTGCTCTTTGGGTTATTCAGATCTCTTCCAGAGCTGTGGGGAGCATTCTAGGGCTTGACATCACACACATAATGTCAGTGGGCAAACACCAGGATTAAGGAGATGCGATTTTACAGCAAAGGGCACTTTCACATCACTGAAAGGGTGGTACAAGTTCTCAAATGCCATACAGCCCAATATTTTTCTTCTATACAATTATATTATTTTTAGAACCAAGAATAATAAAATCTTGACTAAGAAAATTAAAATATTCAAGCTCTCAGTTTGGGGTAGAACTTCTTCATTCATGAATTATGACTTTAAAAAGATTTCAAAATGGGAAAACAAGGGCCATTTTCCGATATGAATTACTAAGCTTGCTGCCTGAGATATGACAACTATAATATTGTCCCTGGAACGTGAGTGAAGATTTCAGTTACTGCTCATCTGTCCTTGTGGATGGCTCAAGGGCAAAGGCCCAGGTCTCGAATAGATTTTGTCACTTTGTGGACGATCCTGCCTAGCAGAGAGAGCTCCATAAACCTGCAAAATTCAGGCATTTTCCTCATAACTGAAAGAAACCAACCAACCAACCAACCAACCAGAGATGATAGATTCTGGGGCAGATTCGGAGCCAATCTTTCCCTGCTCCTGGGTGGCTCAAAAGTTCCAAAAATTCTCTTAGCTGTCATCCACTGAAGGAATGTTTTCTAATTGCACTTAGTGTCTGATTACTAATTAATTAGAGGTTGAGGCCAAAAAAGATTTCTGATCTGTTCTTTTAATTGAGTGGCTACCACATTAACTCAGGCAGGGAATCCCAGGAGCAGTTATCACCAGGCGTGCGTCCAGGACCAGCACCAGGGACTCGGGAGCAGGATCAGACGAGAGAAGGGTGCACAGATGAGAGATACTACGAAAGTAGAAATGACAGGAGTGAATGACTGACTGAGCCTGGGAGGCTGAAAGGAGGATGGTGGTGCCCTCGAAAGTAAATTAGGAGCTCAGGGGGAGGGAAGGTTAGGGGAAAAGATAACAAGTTCAGTTTGGGACATGTTGAGTTTATGATTTCTACAGCACATCTGGTTCAAGATGTTTACCGGGCAGCTGGAATTACGAGACGGGAGGTCGGGAGAGAGGCTAGGGCTGGACAAGCAGATCAGACCGCCATCTGCACGAAGATGGTAACTGAACTCAAGGGAGCTGCTAAGGCCACCAAGTGAAACAGTGCAGAGGAAGAAAAGAAGAAGGTTCCAGATGGAGCACTGGGGACCTCCACGGTTATCAGGTGTGATGTGGGTGAAGCCCTTCAACAGGGACAGAGAAGGAACAGTCAGAGAAGTAGGAGGAGAACCAAGAGAGAGACCTGACACAAGAACGTAGAGAGAAGAAAGCCTCGAGAAGAAGAGGAGGATCAATGGGTCAAGGATGAGGACTGAGAAAAGGTCACTGGATCCGGCAACTAACAGATCAACTCTAGCAAGGCCCTGAGAAGCAGGCGTCACGTAGGTGCTCAGCAGCACCACCGGATCCAGAGGCAGGCTCCATGCCAAGCCCCTCGACAAGCCTCTGCTTGAAGGCCTCTAAGGAGGGGAACCCACCACCACAGAGGCAGTGGGGGGGATGCATTCGAGGAGGGAAATACCGATGTGAAGGATGCTCCCAGCCTCCTGATGAGGAAACTGAGGCTCATGGAGATGAGTGGCTTGCCCAGGGTCACACGGCTCACATGTGCTGAAGATACTGATGTGTTTTTGTCCCACACTAGGTGGCGCAGTGGGCAGAGCACTGGTCTCCAAGTCTGAAAAACCTGAGTTCAAATTTCTTCTTGGACATTTACCAGCTGGATGACCCTGGTCACTTCACCGCTCTATGACTTGGTTTTCTTATCCATAAAATGGGAATAACAATAGCACACACCTCACAGGACTGACGTGGGGACCTTGAAGAGCTACACAAATGCTACTGTCATTATTACTATGGCCTCGTGGTCTTGGTGTTTCTGAGACGCTTCCCTTTGATCTCAGAGAAACAATTTCCACATTCTAAAGTGTTCTTTTTCTAACCACGACATAGGAAATTGCTTTCTCCCTCTCCACCACAAACACTAATACACCAATATCCTGGCACAGAGATATGGGCAGACTAATACCCAAATCAACCAGGACTATTTGTAACAACTGTTAAGTCCAACAAGAATCAAAGGAAACGGGTGTCAATCCACAAATATTTACTAAGTGCCTGCTATGAGTCAGGCACTGTTCTAGGCACTGAGGATAGAAATACAAAGGTGAACTGGTCCCTGCTCTCCAGAAGCTTCCACTCTATGGTATGAATCCTAACCAGGCGTAATCCTCAGTCAGAATTTGTTTTTGTACAGAGGAATCTGAATCCTTCAGGACACCAAAACAATGGGCTGTGAAGGACTCCACAAAAACCCAACAACTTCCACAATATCTGCTGAGGCCGAGTTGCCGTCATGCCATCCGACTGGGTCTATCACAGTCCCACCCACCTGATGTTGGCATGATGTTCATGCACTAAGAGGATCCTTGTTTAGCAAAGAAGGCTCAGCATGGGCTCCTCAGTTTCTTAACTTAGGGACTCAATGATCTCAGGTTCCTTTCCACCTCTAAAACTATGAAGTCATCATCGCACGCACACTAACTGAGACTAAGTCCAAAACGGATTTCTGGCTAAAGAGAACATTCCAGTGCCCAGCAGTCTAGTTAACTGAGATTTTAGTCAAGTCACATGTAAAAAATTACTTCTCTTGTTTTGGGGGTTTTCAGAAGCTTTTAAAGAAGCTAGTTGATCAACCAGTCAACAAACATTTCTTAAGCATTCCCAATGTGCCAAGCATTTTGCTAAGCACAGGGGTACGAGGAAAAGGCAAAGACAGCCCCTGCCAACAAAGAGCTTACGTTCCAGTGGGGGGAGGGAATAAAATGTATATAGATACATACAAGCTTCACAGATGGTAGTTCTAAAATAAGCTTATGTGGGAAGGTATCAACAGTTAGCATGACCAGGAAAGGCTTCCTGCAGAAGGTGTCTTGTGAGCTGAGTCTTAAAGGAAGCTGGGAAATGAAGAGCTGAGGTGAGGAGGGACAGACAATCCAAAGGCACAGAGATGGGCAACGGAGCTTTGTGGGTACAGGAAATGGCAAGAAGGTCGTTGGAGTCCACGGAGGGGAGGACAGCACAAGAAGACTGGACAGGTAGGAAAGGGAGAGCTCCTGAAGAACTTAAAATGCCAAACAGAAGGTTTCTATTTGTTGTTAGAGATAAGAGAGAGCCCCTGGGATTTAGGAAAATCACACTGGCACTTGAGCAGAGCATGGCGTGGAATGGGGAAGGACCTGAAGCAGAAAGCCCCAGGGGAAGGCTACTGTAGTAGTCGAGGCAAACAGTGATGAAGGCCTGGCCTAGAATGGCAGCTGCCCGAGTGGAGAGAAAGGAGAGAGTCTGGAAAGGAAGTGAATGGATGTGAGTAGGAACAGAAGAGCTGTCCACAAGGAGGTAACTACCAGGCAATTCAAACTGTCACACGACCCTCCTCGGACCGAGAACCTGCCTCCCTGTAACATCCACAACAAAAAGTAGAATTTTTCACCAAAGCCACGTATAGGATCTGAGCTTACATCGACAGTGAGGAGAACCACGGCTCGGAATAGAAAGATAGGGAGCGTGTGTGTTTGCCACTCTGCTTTAGACAGACAAGAAGAAGCATGAGGGTACTTGGTGTTTAGGGAGGAGACTGGAGCTCCAAGGAAGGGAAGGAAGGATACACAAACTTTGTATGTTTTGCCACTTTTGACAAATGCCCTCCCCGCCCCCCCCCCCACACACAGTGGCCCCTGACACATGCTACTGAATGAATTCTCTTCTACGCTGCCAAGGTCATCTTCCATTGATATTTATGGCATTGCCAAAGTCATAAGCTATTCTTACGGCAGATGACCACAGGCCATGGGAAATTAAGTTCAGATGTTTCAGTTGTGCCAACTCTTTGTGACTCCATTTTGGGGTTTTCTTGGCAGAGATACTAGAGTAGTTTGCCATTACTTTCTCCAGGTCATTTTACAGATGAGGAACTGAGGCTAACAGGGTTAAATGACTTGCCTAGGGCCACAGTGCCAGGGTGGTGCAATATTTCCTTCTAAGCTGTGTCTTAATAGCTTAGACACAGTTTAAGTGTCTAAGGCCAGATTTGAACTCATGAAGACACGTATTTCTGATTCCAAACCTAGTGCACTATCCCTTAGCCACCTAGCTGCCCATAGGCCATAGACCTGATAATAAAAAACCTCAATTATAAATTCCTCAAAAATATAGAGAGGAATTTTCTTTCTTTTTTTCTTGGGGGATAGGGTACAGAGAAGGTAGTGAAACTTACCTCAGACAGATTTCCCCCATCTCCGTGATGTTAGGATGCCAGATTCTAGTCAAACATTTTACTTTGGGAGGCTGCAAAACAGAGAGAGGTTACAATGGCATTCTCAAGCAGACAAAGTCATTGTGACGATATAATCTTGGCTATATTATTGTTAGAGACTTTCACCAACACTCTTCTTTGTTTTCAGCTCAACAGATCAAGCCCTTCTCCAAATCTGAAATCCAAACCTTCTATGCAAAGTACAACCGTCTTTAAACACAGCATCTACTGCTGCTATTTTTACTAGGAAAGGTTTCCATAACCTATAAGCTAAATGGTTATTTGAATCTAATAGCAACCTTTAACTAAATCCTCCAATGAAAGGGCAATAAAAGGGCCTCAGTTTCCCCAGCTGTAAAACACTGGAGTTTGATTAGACAAAGATGAAGTTCCTATCCAATATTCTAGGACTCTAGGCCTCTGAACTCCATGAATTACAGCTGGAAATAAGTGATAGTGTCCTTAAACGAGATGGGATCTGGGATGGTGGAAGCATGGCTAGACAACAGTGCCCATGAAAAAATGGAGGGATTGAGTAGACTGTGAGTCAGTATGAGTCAACAATGAGTCAGCAGCAGTGTGACTTGGAAGCCCCCAAAACTAAGAGAACGTCAATGAAGAGAGACAGAGCATCTTCACCAAAGCTCGGAGCTCCGTTCTGGACCCGACACTCAGAAATGATTTGGACAACCTGGAGGGGAAAGTCCTGGGTTGGACTCCAGGCCCCACAAAAAGGATCTCAAGAAATTGAGGCTATTTAGCTGGAAGAGGAGGTTGGGGGTGAGGGGCAGGAAGGGTGAGGAGCAGTCAGGGTCTTCAAGGATTTGAGGAGGGGTACGACCTCCGACTTTTCTTGTCCCCACAGGGCCCAATCAGGAGAAATGGATAGAGGCTGCGGGGGCCAGACGAACCCTGGGTCAGGCATGGGCTGGCAACGTGAACCTCAAAGTCTTCTCAATTGCAGAATCTATGGTTCTATGTGACTGTGGCAACACTTCAGTGTGAATGAGCTTTGGTTAAAGCCAATCAACAACGGTGAAAGAGATCAGATCCCTCCCTAGGGTGGGGTATAACACCATCACAGATTTAGAGCTGGAAGGACCAAAGGGGTCATCTAGTTTGACCCTCTCATTTTAAAGCTTAGGAACAGAGGCCCACAGGCATTAAATGATTTGCCAAAGGTCACAAGGGAATTGGGAGCAGAGCCAGATTTGAACCAGACTCCTCTGACTCCAAACTTGAGGGTCTTTCCATTGGGCCATATGAGCCCAGTGAAAGAGGAAAGAGGACAGAATAGTAGAGGTTGCTGGCACCTGAAAAGGGGAGGACGACTCCTCTCCTAGAAGAGAACAAGGTAAGTAAAGACCAAAGAAGACAGATTCCACAGTTTGCCAAGGGCTGGCAGGCTGCCACAAAGAGAAGCTAGGGCCAGAGACATCTTCTCATCTACAAACAGGGACGATTCCATCTCAAGATTTATGAGGTTTGTTTTTTCAGTAGGACTAGTTTCCTATAAAGGGAATTGGTTTCCTAGAGATTTATTGGCTGCAGCATATCTACACCCTGTATTTAAGAAGGAAGGAAAGCCAAACAGCACCTTAGAAGAAGTTCTATCCAAAAAAAAAAAAAGCTAAATAAAATTTAAGAAGATTTGGTATTTAGAGAGTATTTGGATTAAGTTAGTGGGAAATGTATTTAAGTAGAAACCCTCCTTCCCTGCTAGATAAGTGAGATCTCAATTAATCACAATTTGGATGCTAAAAATAAAAAAATTAGGTAACACTAAATTTTTATTTTTAGAGGTATCTAAGAGTCAGCATGAAATAATTTAAGATTATATAAAATCAATGAACAAGTGTTTATTATTATTATTGTTATTATTATTATTAATAATTTTTTTAAAGGCAATTGGGGTTAAGTGACTTGCCCAGGGTCACACAGCTAGTAAGTGTCAAGTGTTTGGTCTGAGGCCAAATTTGAACTCAGGTCCTCCTTCCACTGTTCCCCCTAGCTGCCCCAACAAGTATTTATTATCACAAGCACTAGGAATTAAAAAAAAAGAAACAGTCACTGCCCTCAGTGAGCATTACATTCTATACGAATGTGTATGTATACTTCCACACAAAATATGGTACCAAATATATACAAACTAAATACAAAGTCACCTGGGGGAGGGGATGAGACCAGCAGCAAAACTGAATATGGTATAGGCCACGCCACATAGAGGTAATTTGATTAATCTTTTCCTGGAATGATTTTCAAGGTTATCATATAGGATTCAAAAGAGGAGGAAAAAAAAAAAAGAAAGGCCTCGGCATATGTCTTAGATCCGTGGAACCATTCTTCTATGACACCTTCACAAAAAGAAATTGGTTTTTCAGTAAGAATGGAAACAGATAACCTTATGGACAGATGGCCTTAAAATCTCTAATGGAACATTCCACTGAAAGTCTAAAAAATCAGGAGAAGTTTATCAATCTGAATTTTAATATGTCTAGAAAAACTTGGCTGGGGTCAGGCCTACTTGGAAACTTTTTCCTTTTAAACTGCAGAAATCTTTCAGTAGAGAGAAGAAAATACTGAAGTAGGCCGGCAAGAAGAAGAGTCAGTTTGCGTTCCACAGAACGAGGCACGAGCGAGCTGGCTCAGCACGGCCCGCCTCCACTCCTGGACTCCATTCTGTCTTGACCAGACTATGGCCTAAGCACAAGCAAGCAGCGCAGGCTGCAGGCAGTTTGAACGCTGTTCTCCTTCTTCTTTTAAAGAGGCACAGTCGAGAGTGCCAACAAAAAGGCCTGCCTGTGGCCGTCTGAGTCTAGCAGCATTTAGAGTGTCCGCTCTCTCTCAATCAGCCAAAGCAGCTGCCATATTAGTAAGTAGAACAGCGCACATTTAAACCCCTTTTTAAACAACTCTGTGTGATGCAAGTTTGTTTATCCCCATTCTACACAGGAAGAAACTGAGGCTCCCAGAGCTGAAGTGACTGGACTGCAGCTGCACAGCCTGGCACAACAGAAAGGACACCAATGTGGTGTGAGAAGACTGAGGTCCAAACCCACCCTGATTACCACCTGTGGGGCTCTGAGCAAGTCATTTCCCTTCCTGAGCTCCGCTTCCTCATCTGTAAATGAAAAAGCTGGCCTAGTTGGCTGCTGAAGTGCCCTCCCTTCTAGACCATGTCATCGAGCGGGTCTGATGCCCAAGAATCAGGCTGGTCTAACACAAAGTACTGGATTTCTGGGCAGAAGAGATCTAGGTTTGAACATCGACTCTGACCTTAAGCAAGGCCAAGGCCCCACTCTGGGCCTGTTAAACACTTGTCATACCTGCTTCACAGCATTGTTTTTAATTTGATAAAAATACCCATTATCAGTTCCTGCCATGTAAAACCAGGAGGTCAAAGCCAAGAGCCAAATCTATGATTACAAGCGACAGCCATCTTATTTCCTTCTAAGGTCTATACAATTAAGTCAATGGAACCAAAGTCATGTTCTAAAGGCTGATCCTCTCCCATGTTACTCCATTCTGATGAGTTCTCTAGTTCAGGCCTTGATCCCATCCTCTCTGGGCCACTGCGCCCGCGCCCCTCCCCCCCACTACCCTGACTCTAATATTCAATCTCTCAGAGTCGACTGGTTCCATCCTTGCTGACTACAGATCCATCCCATGTCTCTCTCTGCTCAAAATTTTTTTCAAGGCCCTAAGCAGACCCTCAAGTTAGCATACTATAATGTCTCTTCAATTATCAGTCAAAAGTCTTAGGAAAATTTTTATCTTTACAGTGTTGTCCCGATTTATGCCAGTCCTGGTTCTGATCACTTCACTTTGCATCCGTTCATCCAAGTCTTCCCAGGTTTCTCTGAAGTTTTAGACCAGGATTTTCCGTTACTCCCCAATTAAGGGATGCTTCCTTAGTTCTCTAGTTCTGGCTGCCACAAAAAGAATCAGTGTAAACATTTTTGTAACTATACCCTTTTCCTTTATCTCTTTGGGTCCAGGCCTAGAAAAAGTGTAAGTGGTTCAAAGGGTATGCAAAGTTTAGTGATTTGGGAGCAAAGTTCTAATATATTTTCCAGAATGGCTGGACCAATTCATAGCTATACTGCAGTACCCCCAGGGGCTGGTTTTTCCATAGCCCCTCCCACATCTATGGGATCTTACAGGTGTGACATCAGACTTAAGAGGTGCTTTAATTAGCATTTCTCTGTGAGTGATTTGGAGCATTTTTTCTTATGGTTGTTAAGTTGGATTCCTTGCACTTGAGGAATCTAATAAAAGCTTGTTGAATTAAATTTAGTCAGTGAGAATTTCCCATTTTGTTCCAATACTCTTTGGGAAACAGGTTATTTGGAGGTAGCTAGGGGGCACAGTGAATAGAGCTCTGGGCCTGGAGCTGGGAAGACTGAGTTCAAACCTGGCTTTAGACACTTACTAGCTGTGTGACTCTGGGCAAGTCATTTAATCCCTGCCTCAGTTTCCTCAAGTGTAAAATGGGGAAAATAATAGCACCTTTTCTCCCAGGGTTGTTGTGAGGACCAGATGAGATAATATTTTAAAAGCACTGAGCACAGTGCTTGACACATAGCAGGTGCTTAATAAATGCTGGTTTCCTTGAGATGGATTTTTCCAGGGCATCAAGTTGAATCGTTATAATTACAGAATTTAGTTTTGTTGTTATTATTTTAAATTCTTTTCAAGAAGACTATTACGTAAATCTGTAACTTAAGTCTGGTAGAATAAAAATATATACTTCACTGTGAGATGGATTTCCTCTATAGCGAAAGACATTTTATATACTTAAAGAACCTCAAGAGTCGTGTAGATGTGACAGTGGACATTTCTGGAGAACTTCATCAAGTTTCCACTATCTCTTTTGATCTTCCAATCATGTCCCTGGAGTAAATGCTACAGGTTTTCCTAAGCTCGTTTTACAGATGAAGAAACTGAGGCTGAGAGATGGAGTGAATCCCTCATGGGCTGTGTGGGATTCTGACTCAGATCCTTCCTGACTCTAAGCCTGGGACGAGCCTTT